CACATTAAATGTGGGTATTGGTGAAACATTTTCGTTGACATAATTAGTTTCCACATTCTTTCCTTTTAGAGATGATTTATATAAGTCAACCAAATGTGTAGGTGTACGACACTTATTTGCCCAATGTCCCGACGTGACACATTTAAAATAAGTGACTTTGGCCTTTTCTGAAGATTTCGTCGGGCCTTTTGTTTGATGGGGGTTTCCCTTTCCCTTGCCTTTGTAAAATGAGCTACTACTCTATTTGTGTTGGGCCGCGGGTATGCGGTGCCAGCAATCTGCCAGCCTGCCGGTGCAATCGAACCGCGTGGCGCTTCGCTTGTGCTATAAAGGGGGAAGAGCGTGCTACACTATCAGCGATTGCTTTTAGTGTAGCGGTAAGCGCAATGATCCACAGTTTGTTTCCCCGGCTAGGTCCATTATAACGACCAATACCACGACCATGTTTGAAATGTCCACGAGCACCACTATGGGTTGCATTTGATTCATGTTTCGAACCATGATTTTGTGGATCAAAACTAAAAGGGCTACAACCCGTGGGTCTCATATTGTGGTTTCTCATCAAAATGTCATTATTCGTCTCAACAAGTAGTAATACTGATATTAAATCAGAATACTTTTGAAAGTGCTTTTGCCTATATTGCTCTTGTAAAAGAATATTTGAAAGATGCATAATGGACAAAGTTTTTTCCAACATTTCAGCATCAGTGACTTTTTGATCGCATAACTTCAGTTTTGATGTTATTTGGAACAAGGCAGAATTGTAGTCACTTATAGATTTGTAATCCTGGAATCGTAAATTGATTCAGTCATATTGAGCTTTTGGTAAGAGGACCTTTTGTTGATGGCCATACCTTTCTTGGAGATTATCCCATAATTCTTTAGGGTCATCTACCAATAAATACTCAGACTTCAAACTTTCGTGAAGATGGCGACGAAGAAAAATAATGGCTTTTGCCTTATTTTGGGAAGTAGCTGAATTATTTTCAGCAATTGTGTTTTCAAGGACATTTGCTTTTAAATGTGCCAACGCGTCGACTTTCCATTCCAAATACTTTTGATCGAATAAATCAAGGACGTCGAACTCTCTTTTGCTAATATTAGTCATGGATGAACTACATCATAATTAATTCAAAAATTAATTAGTTAATGGTTTGTATAGATAATACAATTAGATATACATAGTATATTTATGTAATAAACACTATATTACTAACTACTCCATACTACATACGATAACAATATTTATATGCATCACTTTTATTACGTAGTTCGTATGGGTAGTAATATATTAATAACAATAATCTGGGAGAAAAAAATTGGTTCCCATGAATAATGTGTAGCCATGATATATATTATATAAGCAAAATTTATCAATTACTCTGTATTAAGTTGAAGAGATCACTGATATGTCATTTCAATCAATTTGCACCACTGTTTGTTTTCTAATTATTAGTTTGAATTAAATGGATCAATTTTGTTTTGATAGTACTATAGAGTATCATTTAATAAAAATACAGACAAATAGTACGACATGCTAGCTGGCTGTTCATTTCACACATACAAAGTATTAGTTTGAGCCATTCATTTCACTATACGAAGATGTAGCAATTGCTTAGACATTTTGCTTTCTGGGTGTGCATTTTTTTATATAAATAAAATTACCGCATATGCCATATATGATAGCATAAGTGCATCATTTTATTATTCCGTATTAAAACAAATGTAGTACTACGTGAAGGTCTGCCATACTATCTCATTTATGAGCATCTGATCAATAATGCCATACATTAGACAATGACATGTGAAGGTCTGTAACTTGAGCCAACATTTAAACAATGCCAAAAAATGGCAGAATAAGTCGCATGTCATAATGTAGTTCACATTTATAGAAGTCCTTACAAAAATTTAGACTTTGAGTAGATACGTAGGTATACAAATTTATCGAAGCTCCATGAGGAAAAAGAAAACTGTCGGTATGTTTATAAAGAAAAGCCGATTTGATATCAGTAAGTTCTTTCCCTATCTTTTTATGTTCATGGTTTTCTCTGGTTATATCTCACAAACATCATATTATCATATACTACGTACGAAGTATATAAATTCATATATAAGTGAGAATCAGTACGTGATGTAAATTTATTCGTAAGTAAAAGTTCAGATTTTAATAAAGGAGCAGTATATTTAAAGATAATAGTTATTAACGGTTATGTTTATCCTTTCCTTCTTCATCTTTCTTAACAGAAAATATAACTATAATTTTCTGATATGGAGGATCCCAATGGTTGGGCAACCATAGAGCATACTTCTTATAGTTTTGAATATATATATAAACACGTTTATATTTCTCATCCTCTGATTTTTTTCCAGATAAGTTGATAAATTCGTAGAAATATATACATACTAGGAAGATGATGATTTCAGGGATTTGGAGCAAATTCGTGTTGATAACGTGTTATAAAATGGAAGGAAATAAACAGAAGATCGGGGAGAGAAAATATAGTATGAACACTTAATGATAGAGGTGTATTAGAGAGTGTGATAATGGTGTAATCAAGGTGTGTTAATTACAATTGAGAAGTCTCCTATTTATAGGGGAAAAGCTAAGCTTATTAGGATTAGAGGATAATTGTGAACCACACAATTATCATCTAGAATCATAATTATGATTTCCTAATTATTTATACAATGGTGATAATAATTCCTAATCAGGAATAGTTGGAAGATGACTAATTCAATTATATTTCAACAATTTTAACGATGAGATCTAATTTTAGCATCTTGATCTATTTAAGAAAAATTTCGAGTCTCAAAACCTTCAACAGTTAAATTTCAATATATTTTTGTATATTCAATGTTGATGTCATATGAAAGTTCATAAAAAGTTATGAATTTTAACATATTTTTTAAAAAATATTGGAGTGCAAATGAAAAAGTTACAACATTTAAAATAACAATTGGGTTTTAAGTTTACATGGGCACATGGCAGCTTCACCTTTATCCATTCTTCCTCCGGCGTGTTGCGTGCAGCAAATGGTCATGAATATGCCTACCCATTCCCACCCCAGGGGTGACATGCACTCACTTTGCCACCAACAAATACAATGGTTCATTTTTGGAGTGAGAAGCTCAATATTAGCTTATTCACCTATGGGTTGCGGGAAGCCTAAGAGTATCAACTTTTTTAGATGAAGATCAATGCAATAATGTTGATTGTTGATTCAATTAATTGTTTCTTAAAAACTCTTAAATTTATTGTTCTAGTTTTGATTTGCTTTAGAACAAGAAAATATTTCGGAATTTGATAGGTGCTATTGATTATTCTAGCTATGATGTGTACGATTTTTTGCTTATTAATATCGGAGCTATAGATGATACTCTTCGTGTGAGGATCCGGTTAGTGCTTCAATTGTCTTTTGTTGTTCTTACTTGACTATTATTTGGCGTTTTGCCTTATCCTTTACGCATTGACTACCCCATATCTTTCAGGCTTTCACCTATATAAATAAGCACCACAAGTCTTTTGATCATGCTTTGTATTAGATTGTGAGTGAGCGGTGGCCTGATATGAGTGAAAAAGTCATGGTTGCATGCTAGTGTTACCAGGGTTGTAAATGAATCAAATAATTTGTGCTCGATTCGCGATTCGAATTCGTATAAGACGATTCGAATTCGGAAAATTCAAATACAAATACAAATAAGAATATTAAATTTGATTCGAGTTGTTATCAAATACAAATAAGAATATTAGTGTATTCGATTCGAATATTAATCAAATATATTCGATTAATAATAATGATAATATTAATGTCAATAATAATAATAATAGTAATAACACCATAATAACTTTTAAAAGATAACAATACCCTCAAAATGTAGCCCATATATACATTTTTGCATACAGATTCCAAGTCCATTTGTAATAAATCAGAATATAAATACGAATACAAATCAATTTTTTGGTTCAAATGTCTTTCAAATACAATACAAATAATTATGTATTCGATTTGAAGAATAAAATTGGAGTTATTTGACTATGATATATATATATACAATTATCAACTTATTTCACACATTATAAGTATATATAATTTCTAATATGTGTGTGTTAGTGTATATTTTAAAAAGTTTGAAATAGATTTATATTTATTAATCATAAAATTAGTTCACTTTAGTATATTGTGTACCATCTAAAAATGCATTGATCCATTAAACTTAAATTCTAAAAACACACATTAAGTCATAGCAAGCATTTACAACATAAAAACATGAAGTATAAGAAAAGTTTTTTTAGAGTGATATTTGACTAATATTTAACTTATACTCAAATCGATTCGATATTCGTATATGATTCGTTAATTATTCGTATTGTTAAACAAATACAAATACAAATCAAAATTAATATTCGTTTCATATTTGAATTCGAATTCGTATTCGAAAAAATTAAACAAATACAAATACAAAATCTCATTATCCGTCTCGATTCGGTTCGTATACAACCCTAAGTGTTACTCCCTCCTTAACTCTTTATTTAATGAAATAATCAATGGACACATTTATCTTGTTTGTGCATTTTGTTCTTTGGGATTTACTATTCGTTGTATACCTTCATTCATTCTTGATTCAATTGATTGGTGCCTTGAAATTCTTCAATTTGTTGCCGAATTTTTGTTTGCTTGAGGAAAAGCCAAGACTCTAGTGTGGGGGAGTTGATAGGTAGAAAAACACATGATACTTTCTCATAGTTTTTGGACTTTGTTCGTCAACTCTCAATTATCCCCCCATTTTGCTTCAATTCTTAATTTTTTTTTGTTTGTAGAAATCACGGTGCACATTTGAGCATTCTTCTGGTGTAAGTGAGTGTTTAGGATGGATCTCAAAAGCATAAATAGATGATTCCAAGATTCCGAAGGTGAAATGGGTCACAATTAAGCAAAACTCGAAAACATTAGAATAGTTTTAGACAGAATCATCCAAAGAAACTTCCAAGGGAACACTATGTAGAATTGTATGTTTTGTATATATCCAAAATGAATGTACATGGGAGTATTTATACACATACGTGTGATACAAGCTAATAAAAGTGATAAGCTCTACCCATAACTAACTACACAAATCAAGGATAGAAATACATGCATGAGTACTATAATAATAATACACGTATGAATACAAATATAATGTGACATGTTAAATTATGATTTAATACGCCCCCGCAAGATGGAGGATCTGTCGGAGACTCCCATCTTGGTCCGGAATTGAAGAAACGGTAGCTTTCCCAACGGTTTAGTGAGTATGTCAGCAATTTGACACTTGGTAGATATATGGTTGACCCTAAGTTGGCCACGCTCAATGAGTTCCCGAACAAAATAAAAATCCAAGGCGAGATGCTTCATGCGTGAATGAAATACCGGATTGGTGCAAACATATGTGGCCCCTTGATTATCACAAAACAGTTGAGGTGGTGTGGAGACTGAAACGCCAAGTTCCGATAAAATATTGCGAACCCATAGAAGTTCTGCACTAGCGTTGGCTACAGCTCGGTATTCGGCCTCGGTAGAGGAGCGAGACACACACTTTTGTTTTGCAGATTTCCACGAAATAATATTAGACCCGAGATATAGCACGTAGGCTGTGGTAGACCGACCCCCATCATGGATACCGCCCCAGTCGGAATCAGAGAAAGCCGATATATTGAGAGAGCTTGGGCGGCGAAGAAATAGTCCATGATATAACGTACCCTTAAGGTAACGAAAGATCCGTTTTATGGCAGCCCAGTGATTGATCATTGGACAGTGCATATACTGAGAGAGTTTGTTCACCGCAAATGATATATCCGTCCGAGTGAAAGCTAGATATTGAAGCAGACCCAGGGCCCTACGATATTGACTTACTTCATCAAAAACTGGACCGTCATGTAGATGTAATGTGGCGGAAGAGCTCATTGGAGTGGTGGTGTCCTTGGCATCCTGCATATGAAATGAGTCCAGTATGTGCAAAATATATTGCCTTTGTGAAAGAAATAGGCCATCCTTGGTGGGAATAACCTCAATACCAAGAAAATGATTGAGGGCACCAAGATCCTTTACAGAGAACCGAGAAGTAAGTTGAGAGATAAATTTTTCAATTGCTGAGGAAGAATTCCCTATAAGAATAATGTCATCTACATACACCATAAAATATAATAAAATGCCATCACAAGAGTAGATGAATAGAGAAGCGTCAGCCCGGGACTTTTTAAAACCAACTGAAAGGAGAAAGCGGGTTAACTCAAGATACCAAGCGCGTGGCGCTTGTTTAAGACCATACAAAACCTTGTGTAATTTGCACACATGATTAGGTTTAGTAGGGTCTTTGAACCCCGGTGGTTGAACCATGTAGACTTCCTCAGACAGTGTTCCATGCAAAAATGCATTATTGACATCCATTTGTCGCAAAGACCAGTTGCGAGCTAGAGCAATAGTCAGAATAATGAGGATAGTTGCCGGTTTAGCAACGGGACTAAAAGTTTCAAAGTAATCACGGCCCGGTTGCTGAAGAAATCCTCTAGCCACTAGTCTGGCTTTAAATCTTGCTATACTACCATCTGCATGACGCTTTATCCGGAAAAGTCATTTGCATGTAATAGGTGTGTGACCATCCGGCGGTACAAGTTGCCATGTGTTGTTACGAGTAAGAGCACTCATCTCCTCTTCCATGGCGGCCTTCCAGCGTGGGTCACTCAGAGCTTGCTTCACACTAGTGGGTTCAAGGGTAGGAGGTATGGGATGTTTGGTAGTGTGGTTGATAAATGGTCCGCCAACATATTTGGGATTGGGTTTACGTATGCGGGGTGGACGAGGATTGACTGATGAGGCTTGATGGGTGTGGGTACGTGGCGGGCTGGGAGATATGGGAGTGGTAGAGGGTGTTGACAAATTGGTGTTGTGTGGTGAGGGGGTGGACACGTGGGTGGTTGTGGATAAATGGGAGTTGTTGGCATGTGAGGCAAAGTGGGGTGGGAGAGATAAGGTCAACGGTTGGTTATTAGGAGGAGAATTGAAATTTGAATTATTGTTGGTGGGGTTGGTTTGCACGTGGGCTTGGTGGGATAAGGTAGAGGAGTTAGGCGGTGGAGTAGTTTTAGGAGGATAAGGTGGATTTAAAATTGGACGGGAGTTTGAATTCAAATTATTTTGAATTCGCGAGAATAGGTGCAGGTTATCGGATGTACGAGCGGTTTGCATGCATGCATGCATGGGGAGAGACGGATTTGCACCTGGGAGAACATACAGAGGACTACATGCGGTAGACGCGGACCGAAGTGGAAAAATATTTGGCACAAATGTTACGTGCCGACTTACGTAGACTCGATTATTATTATTAATATCAAGACATAAATAAGCAGATTAGGAGGTGGAATACCCAACAAAAATACACGGACTCGATCGAGGATGAATTTTTGACTCGGAGTAGGGACGTAACCACGGGTAACATAGACAGCCAAAAGGACGGAGTTTGGAATATTTAGGTTGATTTTGATATAGCCGAGAGTAAGGTGAATTATTATTCAGAACATGTGTGGGTAGACGATTAATGAGATATACTGCGGTTTGGACTGCATATGACCAGTATGAGAGAGGTAGACCAGAATAATGAAGTAGCGCAAGTCCCGTATCAACAATGTGACGATGACGGCGCTCCGCTAAGCCATTATGTTCTGGAGTATGAGGAGGTGTGGTAAAATGAGATATGCCATGTGTACGCAGATAGGGACGAAGTTTAATAAATTCACCTCCATTATCAGAAAATAGTGAAATAATGGTGTGATTAAAATACTTCTCCACTAGTTTGTGGAATTGTGGAAATATTTTGGCTACGTCCCCTTTGGATTTAAGTGGATATAACCAAATGTAGCGAGTAAAAAAATCCACAAAAATGACATAATACCGGTAACCATCAACTGATTCAATATTGGTACTCCAAACATCAGAATAAATAAGCTGAAGTGGACGAGTTGCAGACATGGAAGTAATTGAAAAGGGTAATTAGTACTTTTATTAACAGAACAAGAGGAACAATGAAAATCCGAAGATTGAGTACAACGAATTTCATTATTATTGTGATGAATTACATGATTAAGTATACGACGAGCTGGGTGACCAAGAATATGATGCCACCCAGAAACATCCAAAACTTGAGTGTGATTTATTGACGGTGAGACAGAGGATGGTGCATAGTAGACATCATGCATGTTCTCCCCGCGCATGAGCGGCGCCCCCGTGGTCAGATCCTTGACAAGAAAATGAGTCGGAAAAAATTCAACAGACACACGATTAGTTTTGCACAGTTTAGCAACAGAAATAAGATTTTTGTTAAGGCGGGGCACACATAGAACACTGGATAGTTTAAGAGGACGAGAGTGGGTGTTTAGGGTAGTGGTACCAGTGTGAGTAATCCGGAGTGACTTACCATCGCCGAGGCGAACCTCTTCAGGGCCACCATAATCAGTATATGTTGGTAACACTGAAGCATCCGAAGCAACGTGGTGTGATGCTCCACTGTCAAAGAGCCAAGATTGATTGTTGGGAGACATCACAGTGGATGTATGATGTGCAACTGGTCCTGCCGGGTGAGATGGATACGGTACATGATTGTCCTTTAAGAACCGTTGCAGCTTCCTACAGTGTTTGACATCATGCCCAGCATTGTCACAGAACCGGCAGATGAGGGTAGTACTGGATCCACGATTACCGGACGTGAAATGACCTCCCCGACCACGACGGTTTTGAGATCCACGACGATCACCATTCATTGGTCGACGATCATGGCCGCGTTCCGCCGCCTGTGTGAAGTTGGCCGTAGGGAGGACGGGCGGTGCAGCTGTTTCTTGATCATGCAGGAGTTTCTCACGCTCCAACAAGATATCCTGGAGCTCAGTCAAGGGCAGCGCAGTAGTACGTACACGAATAGCCGATAGGAGGTCCCTATAGTCCGCACCAAGTCCGTTGAGAATGCTGATGACCAAATCTTCGTCAGAGACTGGGCACTGCGCCAATGCAAGATCTTCAGCAATGGAATACATCTCCGTGAGATAGTCCTTGATTGCACGATCACCCTTGGTGGTACGAGCTAGGGTAGATTTGAGAGAAATAATTCTCCCACGAGAGCTGCTAGCATAAGTATTGGCAAGTTTTTCCCAAGCCATGCGTGCCGTTGTGACAGACGAGATGAGCGATTGGATCGTGTCAGAACAACTTCCAAGTAGAGCACTCAGAAGAGTTTTATCCTGACGATACCAGATGGTGTAACACGGATTTGAAACCGTCTTGAGAGCATCGGTGAACTGAGAGGGAGGCGTGATGGTGCCATCCACATAGCCTTCAAGCCATAGCCCGATGAGAGCAGATTGGACTTGGCATTTCCAAACCGGAAAGTTGGAAGAAGTAAGCTTGATGGGGAAATTTGCCGAAGCAGTGAGCGGGATGACAGTTGTTTCGGTGGTGATGACCATGATTATCAAAAGGGAAACTAGCCGGAAAAAGAAATTAATGAGGATTGAAAAGAAGCTCTTTAGAGAATGGCTCTCGATACCATGTAGAATTGTACCATGTAGAATTGTATGTTTTGTATATATCCAAAATGAATGTACATGGGAGTATTTATACACATACGTGTGATACAAGCTAATAAAAGTGATAAGCTCTACCCATAACTAACTACACAAATCAAGGATAGAAATACATGCATGAGTACTATAATAATAATACACGTATGAATACAAATATAATGTGACATGTTAAATTATGATTTAATACACTATTCCTCCTAGTGTTCTTCTTATCGTTCACCGGCTTTGTTCCGTTTCAGCTTGTCCTAGATAGGGGAATGCCTATGGGAACGGAGTTCCTTCTAACATTCCTCTTGGGAATGTTGTCCCCATCACCGTGTCTCCAATCGTTCAATTTTCTTTCATAAATCTATCAACTTTCCTCCTATTCCTCCCGACTTTTTTTTCCTATGGGAACGGAGTTCCTTCTAACATTCCTCTTGGGAATGTTGTCCCCATCACCGTGTCTCCAATCGTTCAATTTTCTTTCATAAATCTATCAACTTTCCTCCTATTCCTCCCGACTTTTTTTTCCTTTGGGGACGGAGTTCCTCCCGACATTATCCCACGTGTCCCACTAATATTAATAACACTTCTCTGTCTGATGTTCATAGCTTTTGATGAAATTTCTTCTTGCAAACTCTTTTAACTCTTTTGTATTGCATTTCCAAATATTATTTGCCTCAAATCGTTGTTCTTATTTCATTGCATCGTTTTCATATATTTGTCCTTTAATTCTTCGTATCTTCTTTCATGACGATTCTTTACATTTCTTTTATGGAGTTGGGGTTCTATCATTAGTGAATATTAGGATTAGGGATTAAAGGTAATCAAGGATCAATCCGACAATGTGAGTAATATGTTTTGGAGTTTTATTTGGGGAAACTAGAAGAAGAAAAGACAATAAAAGAACGATTGAAAATTCTGAAGGTCCTGGGATGCTTTAAACGGGGTGGTGGGTTATAGAACCCAATCAAGTACGACGTATTATGATGAATTATCTATCACCTTACCAAACAAACATGCTTAAAGTCTACATTTCTGGACAAGAATCGTGAATGACACCATGAACCTAAAGCACAGATCTTTATGAGAAAGAAGCAATTTTATTCTGTCTATTCCTCATGTACAGAAACAGAATGCATGCCATGTTATATCTGATCTTTGTCTCCACTTACATCAGCAAAAAAACACAAAGGCCAACAATCAAAACTACTTTTCACCGGCAAGACTTCTCGGCTGTTGTTGACCAGCACCTGCGGTCAAACCAGCATACCAAGCAACAGCCATGAGCTGAACACCAATGATCAATACCCACCAGCACACAAGACCCCTAATCGTATGCATCATCCATGATGGCACATCCAATTCCACGCCAAGCTTCAAGCCCCTCATCAGTTGCAACAAACGGTAAGCTTCATACACAACTGGGGTCACCAGCCACACCGGGGACCGCCAATGCCACGTCAGCAACTCTGTGAGTATCTGTATTGAGAGAAGCAGAAGATAGGGACCCAAAAGGACTGCAAAAGAAATCAACTCCAAGTGAGGCTGGACGAACCCCTTTTGAGAACCAAACATAACTGCCATGGGTATCATGAACCCAACTGCATTTGCAACCACGTTCCACATCCGGTAAGTGAAAGGAGGGGCATTTCTGTTGTTTTGACTCGGGTTTTGTCTTCGGGCACATGAATCGGCGAGTAGGAGGAAGAGGCTAGCTCCGAGGTTGTAAATGCAGTCAAGACCAGTCAAAGAAAGAAGGCTGGCTACATTGGGCCCAAGGAAAACTGATGAAATTGGTAGCCATAAAGTGGGTACCATTCCAGTAGCTAAAAGTAGCACAGGCCCAATTACCCATATTGGCCACTGAAAGTATTGGAACTTCACAACTGGTTCACTACTTGAGTATGTACTTTTGGTATTGGTTATTGAGGTTTCTTCTACTTCTTCAGTTTTGTTGGAAATAATGGTATCAAATAAACTGGTGGTCCCTTTCAGGACTTCAGTTTTGGCATTATCTTTGACAGCATAAGGTGCAGGTTCCCATGAAGAAGGGTTCGAACAGCAAACAGACACCAGTTTAAGGAGCGGTCTGGGAAAGGTCCCTCCAGGGAGAATGTTTTTATAGTTCACCCAATTCTTATGTTGTTGACGTACATGGGGAAGAGTAACCGCCAATCTCATGTTTGGGGAGCATGTTAAAGATGTCATACTGTGATTCATAGGTAATGTATTTATGATGTAAAAGTTAGGATATGGCCACAATTATATTAAAGATGTAACAAGTGAGGGGAAATCAATAACATTAGTGTTATTTGTGCTCATAAATGGTGTTAGAAAACTGAAAGATGCAATACACTAGTAATAAAAAAGAGAATTTTTTTTAATACAAAACTCTTTTCAGTGGTAAGAGGAGGAACTCAGAGCATAGAACTCCAATTAACAACTTCTGCAGAAAAAGAGACATCATTTACTCCTTTGGTTCAAAAGTGGGGAGAGATGAGCATATAAAAAATGTGTGTGGTTTGGTGAAAGAGGGAGGAGAAATTAGTTAATTTTCGCCAATAAGTAAATACAAATATTGTACTTCGTATTTGATAT